AAGTTTCTTTCTAAATAACCAGGGGATTAAACAATCCTCTTTTCTTTTTCCTTCAGGCACTTTGTTAATGAAGCTTCTTCAGTCAAGTTCACTGGTCTTCCAAAGCCATAATGCATCACCCTCTTGGACGCTCTTTACTGTGAGTATGAAGTCCGATGCTGCTGATGGTACTCAGTTGTGTGCTGCACAATCACAGCAAAGAATCCCACTCGAGTGTATCGTTCTAATAATGCTTCTGAATGCACATCCTGTCCTTCCAACCTGTGCAGAATTCACCATCTATTTACATAACCACACAAATACACACACACCAATGTCTGAGGTGCTGTGTGTGTGTGTGTGTGTGTTGTACTGATACGTTATCATAGCAGCTTGGACAGGCCTGCTTCACGCCCACACAGCTGCTAATAAGACAGATCCGTCAGAACAGAGCAAGGAAAAATGTAACCTGGTTCCTCCTTTAGAATGGAGAGATGGACCAGAGACAGGATAGGATGAGGATATGAAAGACTGCACTTCCTGCCTTTCATGCTAAAGATTTGTTTTAAAGTACGCTAGTTTGGCTTCTCTGGCAGGCGGCTAGATCGGAGTCTGCCACAAATTTAGAAATAATTACATCTGAGCATCCATCATACACATTTCTTGCATTTTGTTTGCGTTATTCACATTTTTTAATCAAGTCTTTGTAAAAAAAACCTGCATCCACATGTCATGTTGTATTAAGATAAAAGACTGAAGATGAGATAAGGGCACAAATAAAATAGAAAGGGAACAAGCAGATTTGTGAGAAAAGAGCTACAGTGTGACAGATAATTTGAAGGACAAGGAAGACAGAGAATAGCAGAACAAGTTGGACGGGTGGGACAAATGGAAACAGAGAAGAGGAAATGAAAAGAACGAGACAGAAACGGAAAAATGAACAAGAGGTGAAATGAAAATAGGCCGCTGGAAATGGAGCGAAACTTCATTACATTTGAATGCGTTTATTCATTACATTAGAAGCTGCAGCACATAAAGCTCTATTAATTGCCCTTCACTGAATTAGTAAAATATGTGTTTGAGGCTAGCTGCATAGATATATTTAATAAAACGTGAAAGATATTTGGCACTAATAGGATGAGAAAATAAAACCAGTATCATAACTCTCACGAAGGGAACACAATGTACCTAAAAATATATGATTCACTGTTCATCAAGAGCTTGAGAATGTTTCAATTGAGGTCTGAGTAGAGCATGGATTATTAATTAGCAAAAGTATTTTGCTGGCAGTAATATTATTAGTGTCACAAGTTAAGTTACAATTTCTACAGCGAGTAAATACAGCCAACACACCCAGCTCTCGATTGGTGAAATACGCTCTGGTTCGACTCGGCGTCCAGTCGGCTGTCAGTTTACGTCGACTCCAGGAAGTGACGAAGAGTTTGGTTGTGAGGTGAACTGCAGTCGATGAGCGTTGGTCTGCCCGCTGTGGACGACATGCTGGATTGTTTTATAAGTCAAAGTTTAGTAATATTGAACCGGTCGCGTGTCTTAATTGCACCAACAAGAGCCGTTCTTCTTCCCCCAGCGATACACCCTCCAAGTCTGAGGTAGATCGGATGAACGGGTTCTCGAGTTACGCAAAGGATATGCAGACAGACGGACAGATGCAATGCAGGAGCCTTAATGTATATGTCAGATGAAGCTCTGATGTTGAGTGAGGAACATCAGGCCGTACATCTAAAGCCAGGAGGTTGAGAGCACTGATCTCTTGGCTCAAGGTGTCTCCCACCTCTGGAGCTTTGGGGCTTCAGATCCAGACGGGAGGTGAAGTAAGAGTTGAAGAACAGAGACACAAAAAAGATTCCTCTGTCTGACCTTCTTATATTAAGCGCCCACACACACACACACACGCACACACACACACACACACACACACACACACACACACACACACGGTAATCAACCAAAAGAAGTGGAAATAATTGTGTTAAGCTTTATCTATTAAGGAAGTCTCATTGATAGATTAATATCTATTACGCCTGGGACCCAACAATATATAGTCGAGATCACAGTGGGACCTGGCAGTCAAAGAAAACAATTATCACGCACACTGAGACCCTGATTACAACAATCACAGATATTGTTTATGTTTGAGGAAGTGAAGCGTCCTGAGAGGAATAAAGGTTTCTAACTTTAGACATTTAATGGATACAGCACAGTGTGATGATACTGAGCACTTTGGATGGAGAGCAGATTCCTGCATAACTCTTGTCAGACAACCAAATCATAAGTAGGAATTTAAAAAAGGAGAGATCCTGTATGCGCATGCTGCTAACTATATAACTATGAAGGGCTGGATGCCATTTACCACAGTGCCACTGGTGAAGACTGGTTCCACAGCTACCCGCTCTACTTCTGAACGGAATTAGCAAGATTCCCCAATCTGAGGGCATGGATTCATGTCGGATCACCAGTGTGACCACTTGTGAAACGCATAGAGTTTGTCTTCTTGAGGTTCAAAACCAGTTTTAAACTAGAGGAGAAGTTGCGATAGGATCAAACCAGCTGCAACGCAAAAATCAGGTCAGGGGTGTATAGAGGAGGGCCCCCTTTCCCACCTCCTACCCCCGACCCCCGACCCACCCCCCTCAAGTTTCTCAAGTCTCAAGTTCCATGAATGTGTCTTGGACGGTTGTGATGCTATTGTGTTGACAAAATCTGTCCACAGACAGACAGACACGTGAACACCTGTCAAAGTGCTCAAGACCTCCTCTGTGGTAGTTCCTGCTTAAAGCAGGAGTCTCCAGGAACACATGCTCTCCTTAGAGATCCGACCACTTGTCTTCAACCAAAGGCGAGAACAGTTTAGAGTTCTACCAAAAAGATACGAGTTAACTAAGGTTTTAGCAATTATCAAACTAAGTGCTGTGATTGGTGGTGTCATCAAAAGCCTTCAAATCTACAGAGGGCGGCATAATGATGCCACTTATCGGTTAGGACCTAAAAGAAAATAAAGCAATTATCATACTTTGACAACAAATATGCAGCTCTTAGACCCAAAATATGAGGGTCACGGGATAATACATCATTTTGTTGCCGTTACTTTTATAACACGGACACATTTTCACGGCATTCAGACTCTTCCACTCCTACAGCAGCGATAGCCAAAATGTTCAATAGCACCACGCTGCTGTGAAGGAATGAATTCAATTGTGGTATTTTGGAAGTAGCACGCGCTCGCCATATATATATTCTGCAAGCTCACATTCAAATTCCACTTTGCCTCCCGAGGGTTTATGCAGGTACGGTTTTAAAGCAGCTGAAAGAAACGGAGGAAGTGCTGCAGTCTGTTTCTAGACAGCGGCCTGCAGCACTGACAACATGGGAACACTGTCACACATATAAAAGACAAAAACTGGTTTACAGTGCCAGGAGCAAGACGTGGAGTTATTATTCTCCAGGCACACCGCCGCTAACCAATCAAACCCCCTGTGCAAAAGCTGTTAAGTGTTTGTTTCTTGTTTGTTTTTGGTTCGTAGTAGAGGTAGGTTTTTTGTTTTTCTATATTCAAGCTAGAGGATGTGTTTAGTATCCTCCAGTCTTATTGACCTACATCACAATTTGGGGGCAGCAGGAGTGTCCCATCTATTGTAACTGAGAGCTTAGAGATCGTTTCTATTGTGGGGAAAGTCTGGTGTTGGGTTTACTCAGTGTAAGGAAAAGCTTTGCTCACACAAAGCCCTTAGAGTGCGATGTCTCCTAAACAAGCATGAGTAAGCACTCTGACCTGTATATTCTACGGAGACCTGCACTTACCGGGTCTCTTAAAGTGATGAAGCACCAAAATAGTACAAAGAAACATATTTATGTCCTGTGAGGCTGCGATCACAGCGAGACAGTCTGGTTAAAATACCAATTGTCTACTTTCTGCTCCCTTCACGGACATACTGTAGATTTAACCCTTGCACCTCACAAAAAAAAAAACCTCTAGTTTAGGAATGCGAGGAACAGATCGGCATCTTGGGAAATACACTCATCCTCTTCCTTGTTGAGAGACAGATGACAAGATCGACACTACTCTCGTATCTCATCATGACCCTGACGAAAGCCACAAGCCCGAACACGTTGGTTTAACAGTCAAGTTGTTCTGCAGGCTACAAGTGTTGCTGGCCTTGTCCCTTCTCCGTGCAAGTCGGTGAAGTTGTGCCGCAAATCCCTACTCGGATTCACTAATCATGAAACTACAGCCAGCGGCACTATGAGCTGAGTAGAAGAACCGATACCTCGGTACCAAGTGGATCCCAAAACTCTGAAGACCTGACAGTACTCGTTTGTCTAAGCTATCAGCAGCCAACGTTAATGGAGGTTGCATTGAGTTTCATTATGATGCGTTCAAGTGCTAGTTTTTGACGAGAATCCTGAATAAATACAATTGTTTGAAGGAATAGATTGTAGAATTTCACTGGCATTGGTATCTACTACTACATTTCTGGTATCGTGACAGCTTAGCTTAGCATAAAGATTGGAAACGGGGGGAAACACCTCTCAAGATCTCCTATAGCAGTGAATTGAAAAGGCCCACGTCTTCACATAAAACAACCCTGAACTTCTATTGAAACCTGCCAAATACCCACTCAATAAAGAACTAAAACTTAAAGCTGAACCTTAAGAAAAGATGACTTTAAGGCTCGGGTAAGATGTTTTCAAAGTCGCTGTCAAACAGAAGTTCAGGCAACACTATAACAAACCGTAAAACAGTCACAACTGAAAGAGCAGGAAAGGAGTTTCTGTAAATCCTTCCGGATTTATCATCGCTTTAAAGAAAGTGATAAAATAAGCAGCTCACAGCGTGGCATTCAACTCACAGATGAAAACACAAAGACATTTTTTGCCAATTTTAGTGTTGTATATATCAAGACAGCAGGAGGAAGTCAATGCATCATTTCTATTTCAACAGCTTTGTGTATTGTTTGTATGTATGCGGCTGCAGAGGAGTAAAAGAAAACTTCATCACTCACTGTTCTTGCAGGATAAAATCCATGTTCTCTGCAGAAATCTGCCCGCTCACAGGATGGCGAAACGCCGTGGTGCTCTGGTTGTGACTGATGTGACAGAGGGAGGAGAGAGAGGAGAGACAAAATTAGAAACCGCGGCTGCTCTGCAAACACTGTGAGAGTATCACCCTGGATCCCCCCCCCCCCAGATTTTACAAGTACAGCGGACACAAGCCGATCATTCCCCAGAGGAGTAGCGGGCTTAGAGGCTCTGTCCAACCTCTCCACCCCGATGGGCCTTTCGTCCCTGACTTTCCCGGCCCCGTGTAGAATGTGAGGGCTGGCTGCTGGGACGCCCACCCAACCCCAACCCACCCAAACCGCCCCGTACAGCCTGTGTAGAACAAAGTGTTGGGCTCAGCACAAAATGACAGCGCAGGCCTGGGCCTCCATCAGTTATAGACTCGGTCAGTCATTCTAAGCCAGAGTGTAAAAGCCTTTGACAAGGTAAACAACACAGGGTGGCGTGGAGGGTCACGGTGTGTGTGTGTGTGTGTGTGTGTGTGTGTGTGTGTGTGTGTGTGAGTGTGTGTGTGGCTTGAATGACTCACAGAAGGGATTTGACAATGACTGCAGTGATATATTGATGTTTATAGTGAAGTTTTTACAGCTCTGAAGTTAATGAACAAAGAGGTCAGTGGACAAACTTCAAAATGTGAAAGCACATAATTAAAACTAGAAAAGTACAAAGTTTTAAAGGATAAAAGGCATGCTGCCTTGTCTTTGTCTGACAACACAATAGTGCTGAAACAGGCTTAATTTCACATCTCTGTAATCCGCTCATCTTTGGGACGTCCCCTCTTAGAAACTGTGACGGACATGTTTCACTATTTTCTGACATTCAGACGAGCAGCTAACTAAGTAACGGATTCATCTGAAAAATGCCACAAATGTATAGAAAATAACCCGTAGTTCGGTGCTTAAATATTGGATCATATTTTTAAAAAAAACATAAATTAAAAAAAAGTTTTGGTAGGGAAATATGGCAGATAAACCAACAGCACTTCTCCAGCCAATTCAGTGAATATAAACCCTTTATATACGAGTGTGAAGACCAATGTATTCACACAGACAAAAATTGGGTAAACAGAGCCTCAAAAACATAAAGGAACAGCATCAGTGCTGTGTGCAGTTTGCCACAGAATCACTAGCGACACAAAAGTCTGATAAAAAGTTCTTTCCCCTGAATTGGAGAACAGAAGCCCAACACTGAAGAGAGACACCAGAAACACTCATCAAACAAACCCCATGTGTGTGTGTGTGTGTGTGTGTGTGTGTGTGTAAAGGTTCAGAAACCTTTCCCCATATCTCACAACGATCGATGCGAAGTAACACCGTCTTCCATTCTGCATCAGACACATTACTCATGTTGTACAGGTTCCTGCTCCATGTAGCAGAAGATCAAACCCGACACGACTACAAGGTTTCCCAGAAGACCCGGCGACATGACAGCAGCGGCCTCCATAACGAGCACTGACGATGCTGTTATTAGCTCACAGCATGAGACCTAAACACGATCACATGAAGCTGGTCACGTCTCAACGCGCTGCCTCCAGACGCTTTCTTTCACTAGTTGTACTACTACTAATGACAGTTACTCTAACAGAGGCCATATAAACACATGGACATCATGTTTGCCACTGACTAAAGGGGCATTTTGCCTTCAGATCACAAGTTCTTGAATTCACTGCTTGCCACTATCTTTTTTTCCCCCAAATTTGGATTGCTGACGACTCACCTGCAGTGGCCCACAGGGGACTGCACTCACATTTACACACACGTTTGACAGCTGGCCATAATAAAAAATAAAAATCTCTACAGAGCGAAATGAAGAGTGTGTTCACGGAGAAAAACCTTTGCTTCCAATCCACAAGGAGAGGACAGCAGCACGGTTCTGGAGATGCTGCCAGAGTGTGTGTGTGTGTGTGTGTGTGTGTGTGTGTGTGTGTGACACACCAAAGAGCTCCAGATAGTAGCATCCCTCAGGGGGATACGCTCTGAGAACAGGATGGAATTATAATAGATCAGTTGTAGCATGTAAAGAGAAACAGAAAGTCCTGACAGGCTTCTGAGCCGTGACTTATGGCCGAGACGTTGTCTCATTGCAGGGTCGCGACAAATTCAACAGCCGATGATAAACGGCAGCCGCGGTCTGTCGGCGCCGGTTTACCGCTAAACAGCTACCGGGGTCAATCCAGGTGATGTCACGTATGTTGCATTATGGTTACAGATCTGGAGGAAGTCCTCACAACCGGTTTGAGGTAAATCATTTTTGGTACCGTTGTTTTTTTCAAAAAATGGCAAAACTTTTTGGTGATATCAAAATCCTCTAAAATAATAAATATATGAAATGATATATCTATCTAACTACAGTATTTGGCGATACATTTTTTGAAAGGTATGAATATGTATGGCAGGAGTCTTTGGTGGCTGGTGTACATGGATTACATTCAGAAAGAAAATGAGTTAAATAGTCAGGAACAGCTCACATAAATGGGAACTTCAGCGGGAAATGATGCTAACAGGATTAATACAAATGATTCGATTATTGGTTTATTGTGTTAACGTGACAATCTACGACGTCTAAGTGTGAACGTGTGAAGCAAAGCATCCTCAAACACCTTTGTCCTAATGAATAAACACGCTGCGACGTTAATACAATAAATAAAACACATCATAAACATGAGCTCAAGAAATTACGTTAATTATGCCATGGTGACAGCTGTAAGACCATCTCTCATTCGCACTAATGTGTGAGTACTAATGGACGCATGCAGAATTCATACAGAGCCTATGAAATGAAATGCTAAGCCTATTAACTCTGATCTCCTTGCCAGACTATTAAATGGTAACAGAGGTATTTATGACCGCTGAGGACCCCTCAAATGCTCTCAGTGGAAGAGCGGTAAATTCCAAGATCAAATCAAGCGCATTTGTTTACTTCTCAGCTGACATGTGAAGCACTGCTCCTGGGGGAACTGATAAAGCCATGTCTGACTGCAGGATGAGAACGGGAACAGCGTCTCAGAGTCCTGAGAGCTTGTTTATCTGCGGCTGTGATTTCCCTCTGCAGCGAGGTTCAAAACAGTGCGACATGCAACGACGCCACGATGGTGTCATTTCAGTCGATGACCGAGCTGTGAAGGGGAAAAAAATGTTAGACGCGGCGCTCAAAGCTTTGTAAAGCACCCTTTTAACAATGCCCTTTAATAAAAAGGCAATAAAAGACATGTCCACACAACACGCCTCCCATCTGTGAGTCCTTTGTGTCTCGCTCTCACAGCGAGTAGAAGTGCCGCTTCAGTGGCGATGGAATTCATCAGTGTCTAAAACATAAATGGTAAATATCACTTAAGAGCGAGAGTTTTTCGATGGAGTGACCGTTTAGTTCGAGTGTTAAACAGTCACATAACAAGAACTGTGTCGAAGAACCAAAACCAAGAGCAACATCAGCGGATCAGAAGGAGATCCGGAGAAAAGATGCTCTAATCATGCTGTCGCCAATGCTTTTGGCATCTGCAGTGTATGTGTGTGTAGAATTAGATGAGGCTTCTTGCTGCTTGTTTTTCTACAGAAGAAAACTCGTTGCTACACAACAAACAGATGATAATATGAAGGGTTACTAAGCTATTAATCCTGTCCAATTTTAATATCAGGTTTCATCAAACACATAAAGACAAATATCCCTGATTATCTGCTGTCTAATTGATCGATTTCCCCCTTTATATATATATATATATATATATATATATATATATATAAATGCTGACTCGTATTTTACTCGTAGTTAGTTTTGACGCGTCCCCTTGTGTGGTTTTGTGGGTCGGCGTACCTGGAGTGTGAACACGGTATCTGTGGATGACAGCTGTGATAAGAGGTACAGATGAAGTTTGTATCATTCAGCACGAACAACAACTCACATGAGGCTCAGGTGAGAATGTGAGTGCTCGGAGGCTTTGAATTCAAAGCTTCTGCTCAGCCTTTTAGCGTGTTCGTCATGTTTCATATCTCACGTTATTTCCATTCTAGCTCACTGTGGCTGAGAGGTAAGTGCACCTGAAACACAGCATCAGCTGAAAGCACACAGTGTAGCTGTAAAAATGTATTCCACTCTTCCAAACAACTCTGTTGTCCCATAAACTTTAAGGACAGGGACAACTGAGGCACTACTCTACTTCTCTCCAGCACTTACATAATAACCATACCCTTTAAAGAGCCACCTCTCAAAAAAACAACAACTCCAACTGATCATAATAGTCTCAGATGAGGGCGACACTGTGACAGATGTGTTTACCCGCAGGGTGGCAGCGACGACTCGACTGTTTAAACGTTTTAGATTCTAGAGTTTATGTAACGTTTGAGTTTTGTGCCAATATGAAAATCAACTTTTTATGATATTTTACTTAAATGTTGACATTTTTCTAAAAACCCTCGAGTTCTCGGGTTCTCGAGTCCAAGTGGAACTTTGTCCATTCTTTTTTAATTCCCTCAAGGCGATCCTGAAACATCATGCTAATGGGACGGGCGTGAGGTCACAGTGACACAAGAATTCTAAACAATTCTTCTTTGAGTCCAAGCGGACGATATTTTTTAATATCAATAATTTGAAGACATTCCCTGCTGGCGTTCCTGAGATATCGCATTCACGAGAACGGGACGGACTGAGAGAAGGACAACCTAAAGACATATCGCCTTCGGCTGCTGGTCGAAAGAATTACATGACATATGTTTCCTTCTTCATTAACGTGCAAGCAGTTTAGGCAGAACATCATTTCTGCCAGAGGGATTCTGATACAGACCACGCAGGGAAGCAGCAGATCTGTCAGCATGTGAACAAACTGCCATTCATAAATAGATCATCATAGCCTCGATGCACCGCAACATGCTAGCCTGAATCATTTCCTCAGACTGTCTGCAACATATCAATCCAACAAATGAATCAAACTTTCGGAATCCTTCCTCTCACCATTAGTGTCAGCTGGAACTCTCAAATCTGATGCCATATTTGTAAAAATTCAGCAGGGTTTCTCAGGTGCACCCGACACGAG